ATACAGCACCTTGCGAAAGTGCTGCGCCTGCCACGAAATCTATACTTGACCTTGCGAAAGTGCTGCGCCTGCCACGAAATCTGCACTTGACCTTGGGAAAGTGCTGCGCCTGCCACGCAACTCAAACCTTGCGAAACCTTCGCGCGGCCGTGCCAATGGGCCCGTCTCCGAACCCGTTCCGAGACCGTTCCGAGACCGTTCCGAGACCGTTCCGAGACCGCCTCCGTACAGGCGTCGCAGCCGAGTGGTTTGCGCACAGTCCGGAAGCCCAATTCACGCACAGCGCCAACGTTTTCTGCATCTTGCTATCCCCCAGCTCGCAGAGAGTGCTTGCGAAAGTGCTGCGCCTGCCACGAAATCGATACTTGACCTTGCGAAAGTGCTGCGCCTGCCACGAAATCTATACTTGACCTTGCGAAAGTGCTGCGCCTGCCACGCAATTCAAACCTTGCGAAACCTTCGCGCGGCCGTGCCAATGGGCCCGTCTCCGAGACCGTTCCGAACCCGTTCCGCAGCCGCCTCCGTACAGGCGTCGCAGCCGAGGTGGTTTGCGCACAGTCCGGAAGCCCAATTCACGCACAGCGCCAACGTTTTCTGCATCTGCCATCCCCCAGCTCGCAGAAGTGCTATCTACGAAATCTGGCTCTAAAGCTATATGTCTATATGTCAAAGCTATCTATCTTGTCATGCTAGCTACCTGTCATAGCTATATGTCAAAGCAGCTAGCTCATTTAGTTCCAGTACTACGGAAGTTTCTTGTTAAACTTCCTTTGATAAACATGTTGTGATAAAAGTACATGCCCCCAAAAACAGGAGGAACTTGTGATGCTGATGATGCGGGAAGCCACATCCAAAAACAGGCCAAAAAGCCCGGACAGGAACTGGGAAAGCAGAGGATGCAAAAAGCTAAAGCCGCCAAATGCCGCATAAACCAGCGAAAAGCCGCAAAAGCCAAAATGCCACCTGCCGAAGAGGAACTGGGAATGCAAAGGATGCGAAAGGCCAAAGCCAAGAAGCCGAAAATCCCAGAAGCTGAGAAGCCAAAAAGCCAAGAAGCCAAGAATCCAAAAAGCCAAGAAGCCAAGAAGCCAAAAAGCCAAGAAGCCAAGAAGCCAAGAAGCCAAAAAGCCAAGAAGCCAAAAAGCCAAGAAGCCAAGAAGCCAAGAAGCCAAGAAGCCGAAAAGCCAAGAAGCCAGGGAAAAAAAAAACTCCCTTCTGCCGCCAGCTGCTCAGCCTATGTCGGATGTCATCTACGACCTTTCGTGGGACGACCTCGTCCGGAGACATGGCTGGCTCATAGGGTGCCATGAACTTCTTTACGGCCACACGCTTCATGCGAAAGTCCGAGGAGGCATGCGTGAATGCAAGGCCTAGGCCAGACACCACAAAGCCTGCAACAGCCAGGGAAAAGTCTCGTATATCGCGAATGTCAGCTGTCCTGTTGGGCGCAGCATGCATTGCCCTTTGTATCACAGCTCGAAGCTGCGGCCACGCATTCAGTTGGGTCGGTGGCGCGCTGGGCCGTCTTCTGCAACTCACCGGCTTTGCCTTGCTCGACGCAAAAGCACGTTAGCATGAGTAATTTCAAAGAACTACGATGCAGTCAAAGCGGCCCAGCTGTGTCCGATGAAATGGCCTCCTCCACCGCGATTCGCTCTGCCACTGAGGGCGGATGCCTTCTGCGGAAAGGGCGAGTACAACCAAGCACACACAAAGCTCTTAAAACACCCCAGCCTCTGGCAGCAGGGTGAAGTCTTCTGCGGCAAGCTGAAACAAGCTACTGCAGCAATCGCGCAGAACAATGGCACACTTCCTTTGCGGCGTCTCCTGGCAACCACGACGTCCAACACAGCTGAAGCCATCGTGCGACAGAGACTTTTGCAACTGCGCTCACGAGCCCGAAACGTCCAGCACGCTGAACCGAAGGACCCACCTTCTCCATCGGAGAGGGGTCTAGGGTTTGTGGCCTTGAAGGTTTAGGGGGTGAGCAGGCCGACACTTTTGAAAAGCCTTGCCTCTTGGTAGGACGCCGACATCTGCTGTTCAAATCCCTCTAAAACTAAACGCTAAACCGGCTAAACCTAAACCCTGAGAGCCCAAACGCCCAGCGGGCTCCAGTTCTGAGATGGTTGTTTGCACAGCTCTTCAGAGCCAACCCTTTTCTCAAAAACTGTTCCATCATACAGAAACCCAAACTCAACCGCTGCGCGCAAGGAACCAAAATAACTGTCTGCAACAAGTCGGCACATCAACCTACCATGAGGCAAAATCCTCGTGCAAGCTTTTCAGGGCATCTTCTGTTTGGCGATTGTCGCGTGCAAGCTTGAAGCAAACCTGTAAAGCTTCTCTGTAGGATGCCATATGATGGCATGCGCGTTCTCATTACAAATGAGCTTTGCAATTTTGCGTGGCTCATAGGCGGTAGTATTGATGACTGCCTTAATGCCTGCGCCTCCGCTCTGAAGCAGTGCGATTAAAATCTGCTGACCCACCTGCTTTCCATCAAGTGTAAGACTCATGAAGTTCACCACGTCTTTTTCTGCCATATTGTGGAAATCGACCTTGATGTCGCTCAGATTGATTCCTCTCCTCAGAGGGGAAAAGACACCGAAAGCGAGTCTCGCACAAAAGTCAAAAACGTGACTGCAAAGCAAAACACGGGCAAAGTGTTTAGAGAAGGCACTTCAGCATACTGCATGCATCCACCAAATCACCAGCGCGGCGGCCACCTTACTGAAACTCTGTGCTCATGCAACAAAGGGAAGCATTCAAAACAACAGCTTGACAGAAGCCTGAAGCATTGCCTGCCACAGCACAATTGTCAATGATTGCTGTCGCGGCCGACTCGTGCTCGTGCATCTTGAGCAACTCACTCGCCTCCTTCTCGGTCATGTCGCCCACCCAAATGTCGAATCTGCGACCGCCAGCATCAAACGCCAGAGCCGAGGCAGCAGATGAGGCGGCCACCAGCACCTGAAATGCATTGAGACTGGGAAAGCGGCGACTCAACAAGGAAGACAGAGTTGATTCATGGATTGACTATCAGCCGCGGGACATGCGCCGTTGCGGCGTAGCGTGAATCACTCGACATGTCCTTCGCTGTGGTGGAAACCAACTTCATCCCCTCCTCCTTACCTCAGGGGAGTTGCTTGCAAACGCTGACGCTATTCACAAAGTGCGCGCAGGCCTCCTTTGGTGTCGCGAGGAATGTCCAGAAGCAGGATGGGATATTGGGTCAGGTTCTTTGCAAACTTCTTCTTTTGCAACTTGGCGCGGACACGACGAAGCACCTCGGCAAACATGTTCGCGTCCTTCACTCCAAGCATTTGGTACATGGCAGGCTTCCAGTCTTCCACCTCGACCGTGAAGGCCCACACACCGCAAACACCGCGCAAGGCCTCTTCCACGGCCACAGTCTTGCCGGATTTGTAGCGGCCACTCACCATGGTCGCGTCGGACTGCTGCCGCCAGCTGCTCAGCCTATGTCGGATGTCATCTACGACCTTTCGTGGGACGACCTCGTCCGGAGACTTGGCTGGCTCATAGGGTGCCATGAACTTCTTTACGGCCAGACGCTTCATGCGAAAGTCTGAGGAGGCATACGTGAATGCAAGGCCTGCAGCAGACCAAAAGAAACTCCATGCGTTGCTCGCTGCCACATTCTTGACACCCACTATGAGAGCGGGAATTGGCATTGGGCCGGATGGCCATGCCCTGACATGGGTCGGCGGCGTGCTGGGCCGCCTTCTGCAACTCACCGGTTTTGCCTTGCTCGACGCAACAGCACTTTAGCAAGAGTAATTTCAAAGAACTACGATGCAGTCAAAGCGGCCCAGCTGCGTCCGATGAAATGGCCTCCTCCACCGCGATTCGCTCTGCCACTGAGGGCGGATGCCTTCTGCGGAAAGGGCGAGTACAACCAAGCACACACACAAAGCTCTTAAACTCCCCAGCCTCTGGCAGCAGGGTGAAGTCCGTCTGCGGCAAGCTGAAACAAGCTGCTGCAGCAATCGCGCAGAACAATGGCACACTTCCTTTGCGGCGTCTCATGGCCATCACTGCGTGGGCAGGAAAGGTCAACAACGCAATGTTTCCATAAAGGGGAAGCAGCTGAATGCATGTGCGATAAGATTGAGCATAATTTAAATTATTTAAATTGGCAAGTTGGCAGACCACCCTTTTCCAATTCAAATAATTTCCACAATGTAAATAATCTGAAGCATGACATGGTTTAACTATATATATTATTTAAGTTTTCAAGTGGGGGGCCACTAGGGCTGACTGATTTAAATTTCTCTAAATAGAAGGCCCCCCCTTTTCCAACTTGAATAACTCCAAAACAATAAGCCTTTTAAACTATTTGAAACTCAACTATGCTAGAACAAAAAAACATGTTAATGGGGCCAGGGGCCGCTGGAGAAACCACAACGTCCAACACAGCTGAAGCCATCGTGCGACAGAGACTTTTGCAACTGCGCTCACGAGCCCCAAACGTCCAGCACGCTGAACCGAAGGACCCAATCGGAGCGGGGTCTAGGGTTTTGTGGCCTTGAAGGTTTAGGGGGTGAGCAGGCCGACACTGTTGAGAAGCCTTGCCTCTTGGTAGGACGCCGACATCTGCTGTTCAAATCCCTCTAAAACTAAACGCTAAACCTAAACCCTGAGAGCCCAAACGCCCAGCGGGCGCCAGTTCTGAGATGGTTGTTTGCACAGCTCTTCAGAGCCAACCCTTTTCTCAAAAACTGCTCCATCATAAAGAAACCCAAACTCAACCGCTGCGCGCAAGGAACAAAAATAACTGTCTGGAACAAGTCGGCACATTAACCTACCATGAGGCAACTTCCTCGTGCAAGCTTTTCAGGGCATCTTCTGTTTGGCGATTGTCGCGTGCAAGCTTGAAGCAAACCTGTAAAGCTTCTCTGTAGGATGCCATATGATGGCATGCGCGTTCTCATCACGAATGAGCTTTGCAATTTTGCGTGGCTCATAGGCGGTAGTATTGATGACTGCCTTAATGCCTGCGCCTCCGCTCTGAAGCAGTGCGTTTAAAATCTGCTGACCCACCTGCTTTCCATCAAGTGTAAGACTCATGAAGTTCACCACGTCTTTTTCTGCCATATTGTGGAAATCGACCTTGATGTCGCTCAGATTGATTCCTCTCCTCAGAGGGGAAATGACACCGAAAGCGAGTCTCACACAAAGGTCAGAAACGTGACTGCAAAGCAAAACACGGGCAAAGTGTTTAGAGAAGGCACTTCAGCATACTGCATGCATCCACCAAATCACCAGCGCGGTGGCCACCTTACTGGAACTCTATGCTCACGCAACAAAGGGAAGCATTCAAAACAACAGCTTGACAGAAGCCTGAAGCATTGCCTGCCACAGCACAATTGTCAATGATTGCTGTCGCGGCCGACTCGTGCTCGTGCATCTTGAGCAACTCACTCGCCTCCTTCTCGGTCATGTCGCCCACCCAGATGTCGAATCTGCGACCGCCAGCATCAAACGCCAGAGCCGAGGCAGCAGCTGAGGCGGCCACCAGCACCTGAAATGCATTGAGACTGGGAAAGCGGCGACTCAACAAGGAAGTCAGAGTTGATTCATGGACTGACTATCAGCCGCGGGACATGTGCCGTTGCGGCGTAGCGTGAATCACTCGACATGTCCTTCGCTGTGGTGGAAACCAACTTCATCCCCTCCTCCTTACCTCAGGGGAGTTGCTTGCAAACGCTGACGCTATTCACAAAGTGCGCGCAGGCCTCCTTTGGTGTCGCGAGGAATGTCCAGAAGCAGGATGGGATATTGGGTCAGGTTCTTTGCAAACTTCTTCTTTTGCAACTTGGCGCGGACACGACGAAGCACCTCGGCAAACATGTTCGCGTCCTTCACTCCAAGCATTTGGTACATGGCAGGCTTCCAGTCTGCCACCTCGACCGTGAAGGCCCACACACCACAAACACCGCGCAAGGCCTCTTCCACGGCCACAGTCTTGCCGGATTTGTAGCGGCCACTCACGATGGTCGCGTCGGACTGCTGCCGCCAGCTGCTCAGCCTATGTCGGATGTCATCTACGACCTTTCGTGGGACGACCTCGTCCGGAGACTTGGCTGGCTCATAGGGTGCCATGAACTTCTTCACGGCCAGACGCTTCATGCGAAAGTCCGAGGAGGCATACGTGAATGCAAGGCCTAGGCCAGACACCACAAAGCCTGCAACAGCCAGGGAAAAGTCTCGTATATCGCGAATGTCAGCTGTCCTGTTGGGCACAGCATGCATTGCCCTTTGTATCACAGCTCGAAGCTGCGGCCACGCATTCAATTGGGTCGGTGGCGCGCTGGGCCGTCTTCTGCAACTCCCCGGTTTTGCCTTGCTCGGGGGAAAAACAAAACAAAAACTTTAGCATGAGTAGTAAAAAACAAAAAAAACTACGATGCAGCCAAAGCGGCCCAGCTGCGTCCAATGAAATGGCCTCCTCCACCGCGATTCGCTCTGCCACTGAGGGCGGATGCCTTCTGCGGAAAGGGCTCTGGCAGCAGGGTGAAGTCCGTCTGCGGCAAGCTGAAACAAGCTGCTGCAGCAAGCGCGCAGAACAATGGCACACTTCCTTTGCGGCGTCTCATGGCCATCACTGCGTTGGCACGAAAGGTCAACAAGGCAATGAGCAGCTGAATGGCTGAATGCATGCGCGATAAGATTGAGACACCACGTCGTCCAACACAGCTGAAGCCATCGTGCGACACAGACTTTTGCAACTGCGCTCACGAGCCCCAAACGTCCAGCACGCTGAACCGAAGGACCCACCTTCTGCATCGGAGTGGGGTCTAGGGTTTTGTGGCCTTGAAAGTTTTGGGGGTGAGCAAGCCGACATTTTCGAGAAGCCTTGCCTCTTAGTAGGCAGCGCCGACATCGGCTGTTCAAATCCCTCTAAAACTGATCCTGAAGCTAAACCCTGCATTCTGAGAGCCCAAACACCAGTTCTGGGATGGTTGTTCGCACAGCTCTTCAAAGCCAACCCTTCTCTCGAAAACTGTGCCATCATGCAGAAACGCGAAAACACAGGAACTCAACCGCTGCGCGCAAGGAACCAAAATAACTGTCTGCAACAAGTCGGCACATCAACCTACCATGAGGCAACTTCCTCGTGCAAGCTTTTCAGGGCATCTTCTGTTTGGCGATTGTCGCGTGCAAGCTTGAAGCAAACGTGTAAAGCTTCTCTGTAGGATGCCATATGATGGCATGCGCGTTCTTATCGCGAATGAGCTTTGCAATTTCGCGTGGCTCATAGGCGGTAGTATTGATGACTGCCTTAATGCCTGCGCCTCCGCTCTGAAGCAGTGCGTTTAAAATCTCCTGACCCACCTGCTTTCCATCAAGTGTAAGACTCATGAAGTTCACCACGTCTTTTTCTGCCATTTATTTTATTTTAGAATTAATTAAGTTTTTGATACAATATATTAAAAATATAAATATTAATATAAATGGGAAAAAAGAAAAAGAGTAAAAGCAAAGAAAGACCAATGCCAGATATTGAAGCACGGAAAGAAACAGCAGAAAGTGTTAAATCACTGGGCGAAAGTAAGGCTATAAAATGTGATAAATGTAATCACGTAATGAATTTTAAAAATGAATTGACAGTAGATAAGAAAGGCGGAGTGAAGGTTAGTTGTATTCCTTGTATGTTTTCTTATAAAAGCTCAGATAAAGATTTAAATATTAAGAAAAAAAACAGGTGGCGATATGGTTGTTGAAACTAATGAACATTTGATTAATGTTAGTTTTAACAGGGACATAAGTTAGTATTTAAAGAGTAGATTTAACATAATTGCACTTTATAAATATATATAATTAAATAAATAAACAAATATCTAATTATTTATATAATCATAATGCCAACTATGAATGGACAAGACCATAGAATTATAACTTTTGGCAATGAAGAAATTAAAGACCTATTCAATGGTGATAAAAACTTTGCTAGACAATTGAGTATAGAAAATTTTTATTGGTTAGATGCTAAATTTAATAATAACTATTTTATGAAAGGTATAACTAAACCGGATAAATTTGATAAAATATTGAATTTTTTTGAAATTACAGGTGACGAGGAAGGTTTAATACAAATGAAAAATAAAATTGATGAAAGACTCTTAGAATATAATTTATTTACATATATAACATTAAATTATTCAAGTAAATTATATAATTAAATAAATAATTATCTAAATAAATATATAGTAATGTCTGAAAATGAGAATTATACTATTAATGATTTAATGAAGAAGATAACATTAATTGGTAAAAATATCAAAACCTTAAATGATATGATTAAATCCATTGATGACAAAATGAAACCAGTTGAACGCGAACAACAAAGCAACGAAGAGAAGGAGAAAATCGAAAAGATATTTCAAGCAAAATCTATAGGAAGACCATCGGGCGACTACCCTACAAAGCAAAAGAAATACTGTGATATGTTGAATACAGGAAAAATCAAACAACCTAAAAGCACCACTTTAGAATTTTACAAAATTTCAAAAAATGATGATGGAGTATATGTATTATTTGAATAATTAATATCTAAATAATTCTAATAAATGAATTTATTAGAGTTATTTTCAGGTAGTGGTTCAGTCGGAACCATAGCAAAGTCGCTTGGATTTAATGTGATATCATTAGACTTGAAAAATGCTGATATCAACACTGATATTTTGGAGTGGGATTACAAACAGTTTGACAGAAACCATTTTGATTTTATTTGGAGTAGTCCCCCATGCACTGAATACAGCATAGCAAAAACTAGGGGAATTAGGAATATCGAATATGCAAATAGTATTGTCTTAAAAACTATTGAGATTATCAAATATTTCAATCCTAAATATTTTGTAATCGAAAATCCACAAACTGGATTATTAAAAAATCAGGAGTTTATGGATGAGTTTGAATTTAAAGATGTTGATTACTGTAAATATGGAATGCCTTACAGAAAACGCACTAGGCTCTGGAATAACATTATAACTTGGAAACCTAGAGATTTATGTAAAAAGGATTGTGGCAACATCAGGAATAATAAACATATTGAAACAGCACAACGGCTTCCATCAGGCACTAAGGAAAAATGGGGAGACAATCCAACAATACATAAGCAGGAAGACCTATATAAAATACCTAGCGAATTAATTTGTGAAATCTTAGTGAGTTTGACGGATTAAGGATTAACATAGCTTGATTTTTGGATTAACATAGCTTGATTTTTGGATTAACATAGCTTGATTTTTGGATTAACATATTTTTGGATTAACATAGCTTGATTTTTGGATTAACATAGCTTGATTTTTGGATTAACATAGCTTGATTTTTGGATTAACATAGCTTGATTTTTGGATTAACATGGCTTGATTTTTGGATTAACATAGGATTAACATAGCTTGATTTTTGGATTAACATAGCTTGATTTTTGGATTAACATATTAACATAGCTTGTTTTTTGGATTAACATAGCTTGTTTTTTGGATTAACATACTTGATGCTTGGCTAGCACATTCTTAAGATTCTTAAGATATATGTTATTAATATTATCTTATACTGTAGATAGTATAAATAACAGTATTGTTGAAAAGCGATTTAAATAATTAAGTTTTATTGTATTATATTATAATAATGAGTAAAAGTGAAAATTTGACATGGAACGATAACCATCAAAAACAATATACAAGATTATTTAATTTAATAACCAAGCATAAACCAAATTTATTAAAGAAAGATTATGATGAAAACAACTATTTAGTAAAAATTAACAAGAAGAATTTGAAAACTTTTATTAATCAATTAGAATTAGGAGATAGCTCAAAAGAAAGTTTATATTTTATTGTATCAACTTATTTGAAAATTAATGATCAACACAATTCAAATATTAAAACTTTTCAAGAAGCAGGTTATAAGTTAAAGAAAACACGGGAACAAAAAGACGGAGAGAATGAGTTAGATGATAGAGAGTTAATATCGTATAGACCTTATAATTATTTCATGAATATTTTAAATTCAATAAATCCAAGTAATACAACTAACGAAAAAGAGCATATGAAATATTTATTATTATCAATACTTATCAAACAACCGCCAGTAAGAACTAATTTCTATAGAACAGCACAATTCCGCACTGGAGGATCGTATGATGAAAAACAAAATTACATTTTTTTACATAAGATAGCTGGAGTTAAACAAGTAACTTTATATATTGGACATGATAAAGTCAGTAATACTAAATCATTTCATTCAATTGAAAAAAGAAATATATCAGTTGACAATAAAGAATTAGTAAATTTAATTTATGACAGTTATGAAAGAAATAATAGAAAATATTTAATTGAAATTAATAATAAACCAATTAGCGATCATACATTATTGAAATTATTAAAACAAATTACAGGAGTTGATGGAATGACAATTGATTTAATGAGAGTGATTTATATAACTAACTTTTATGAAAATAATAAGTCATTCAAAGCTGAGACATACATTTTTTACTGCAAATTTACGATATAATAAAGTTATTAATAATGTATCTAATGATAATGAAAAAGATAAAAGAATAAATGAATTAGAAAATACCAATAATGAATTATTAATTAAAATTAAAGAACTTCAAGAAGAAAAAGAAAAGTTAAAACAATATGAAACAATTTTTAATAAAGTTGAACAGAGAACATATAATAAAAAGCAAGTAGATGTTGATACCAATAAAGAAGCTGGAAAAGAATATAAACATTTGAGATCATCAATGTTGTTTAAATTAAATTCTGGAGTAGTAAAGAAACCTAAACAATATAATTTAGATAAATATAAAATTGTTTATGATGAAGAAACTAAGAAATATAAATATCAAGACTAAATAAAAAATACATTTTTATAATTTAACTATTATAAACTTGTATGAAAATATAATATACACTTTTACCTTTTTCATTTAGTATAATCTATACACGGTTTTTATATCTATACACTCAACTATACATTCCTAAAATAATAGATAAGGTAGGTACATATATATATATATACTAATATTACATTTGTTACACTTATTTAAAATATATATTCTACAAGGTTAATAGAGTGTATAGAGTGTATAGAGTGTATAGTTACCAGAGGTTGTATAGTGAATTGATGATATAACTTACAAGAAAAAATAATTGTTCAATATTACACCTAGCCCAGCCTTTACATACACTCAACTATACACTAATTAAATGAATGAGATTGAATATTTAACTGTGTATAGTGTTGAAACATATTTTCAACCCCATAATTAAAGATATAACACTATTATTTAATAGTAGAATGATTGATAGCAATATAACTAAAGAAGAATATTTCAAGATATTAAATGAGTTGCATAAACAATATTTAAAATATTATTTCGATTTATTTTTTGAAAAAACTAATGACGACAAAGATAGAATTGACAAGAATATCATTAGGTTAAATTATAACTCGTGGCGAAATGATGGACATTACATAACTCCACAAAAATTTAATAAGTATATTTTAGAGAATAACTACAAACTAAGTAAATCAAATGGAACAATAAAAATCAAAAACATAAAATTCAAAAAAGAATTTGAGAATATCAAGACACATTTAGATTTTGTAAATTTTGTAGTTTTAGATAATCCAAAATATTTATGTCAAAAACGAAAAATATTATTTTTCTACAGAATAAATTGGCGCGGAAAAAAATATTAGTATACGTGTAGAAAAATATAAATATAAAATTATGAATTTATAATTATAAAAATGTATGTAGTAAAGAAGTAGAAATATAAAGTAAAATTTATTGATTAAAATTGTAGTAAAATATATTAAATTATTTAATTTTTCTAAATTATGAAATTATTTCTTTTTTCTAAATTATGAAATTATTTAATTTTTCTATATTATGAAATTATTTAATTTTTCTATATTATGAAATTATTTAATTTTTCTAAATTATGAAATTAGTTAATTTTTCTAAATTATGAAATTAGTTAATTTTTCTAAATTATGAAATTAGTTAATTTTCTAAATTATGAAATTATTTAATTTTCCTAAATTATGAAATTATTTAATTTTTCTAAATTATGAAATTATTTAATTTTTCTACAGAATAAATTGGCGCGGAAACAAATATTAGTATACTTGTAGAAAAATATAAATATAAAATTATGAATTTATAATTATAAAAATGTATGTAGTAAAGAAGTAGAAATATAAAGTAAAATTTATTGATTAAAATTGTAGTAAAATATATGAAATTGTTTAATTTTTCTAAAGTATGAAATTATTTCTTTTTTCTAAATTATGAAATTATTTAATTTTTCTACAGAATAAATTGGCGCGGAAAAAATATTAGTATACTTGTAGAAAAAAAATAAGAAATCGCTTTTAGAAAAAAAATGAAACAGAAAAAAAACTAAAAAAGCGAAAAATAGAAAAAACTAGTAGAAAAATAATGAAAAAGGTAATGAAATCACAAGATGCCGGCAATCGCTTATCGCTTTTTAAAAGGTAATGATATCCCTTTGCTGTGGCCCGGCAGCCTCCTTGGCTGCCACTACTTTGCTCCGCAGTGATTGCAACTTGTCCTCAAGCTTCCTGACAGTCCTCCTTGGCATCACTTCGCACACATTGCTCAGAAGATGGGCTGCATTGCAAGGATACCCGTCCATGGCCTGCAGAATCTTGCAGCACGCCGCATCTGTTTCGCAGGCGCAGTACACACGAAGCATGCTCCCTGACGGCCCCAGCCCCACGGCTTCAAGCTGTTTGCAAGCAGCTGCTGCAGCAATCTCTGCAGTCCCAATGCCAGAAAAGGAGGTGGATAAAATCACCTTCGGACAAGTCTGCAAATTGGCACGGAGGTTCAGCCCCTATCACTGCTTCTGCTCTAGCCAGGAAGTCGTGTGGCCAATTGAAAAACTGCTCAAACGAGGTGGGCCCATCTGGTGATTCAGCCGCTGCGGCTGAACCTGAATCAGAAGGCGACGCTGGCTCCGCCATTGCAAGTTCCTCCAGTGGCCAGTGGCCTGCTCATCTAGCTGTCTGAAAAATGACTGACGAGATCCCCATTCGTTGCGCACGAACGCAAGTTGCAATTGCTTTCGCCTGTGTAGTACTCTTGGGCGCTGCGCCCATCTCAGAAACTCTGAGAAAGCCACAGACAGAATAGAACGACACACGCCTAGCCAGAAACATCGATAGTGAATGCAAAGTGTCAGCAGTTGTCAAGTGTTTCTAATTTCTAAGCGTTACAAGCTGCCCACACGATAGCTACGGCATACTTTCAGCCGCACCCTGGCATCCTTTCAGCCAGAAAAACGAAGCGGCATACTTTCAGCCGCACCTGCTGTCACCACCCTGGCATCCTTTCAGCCAGAGAAACAAAGCGGCATACTTTCAGCCGCACCTGCTGTCACCACCCTGGCATCCTTTCAGCCAGAAAAACAAAGCTAGGCAGCTGAGTCTGAGACACAGTATCAGCCAACAATCTGCCTGGCTTCCTGGAATGCATCAACATCTCATTTTCTCCTGGCACGCTGCTGGGAACTTCTAGCTGGTTGGCTGCCCAGTTCAGCGCAGCGAATGTGTCTGAATGATCCCTCTGCCAATTGCAGATTCTCAAAAAATCGGAGTCAGCAGCCATAACGGAACACTCGGAAGACAGCAAGCCATGAAACACTGAAACATCAATGTGACGTCAATGTGTGCTGAGTGCATGTGCGTCGGAAGTTTCGGCATGTGGCTCCATGTAGAACTTCTATGCTGTGATCTGAATGCGGCCTGAATAAAAAAACATGGCTTGGGCCCCGGATGAGTGACATCCCTACATGGCTCAGTCACTCCAGGATTCCTACCCCTGCACTGGCACATGTGCTGCGCCAGTGGAGGGAAAGATCTAAGATCACGCATCTCTCACTTGCAGCCCTTGCCCTTGCTAGACTTCTGATTCACATCTCCTCTGCTGGCGCCGGCGCTTCCTCTCCTGGCTCCGACCCTTCCTCTGCTGGCGCCGGCGCTTTCATCTTCTTCTCCTTCTCAGCCGTGGACTCAGCAGCACTGGGAGGATTTGCTGGCGCCGGTGCAAAGGCTGGAGCCGGAGCTTTCTTCTGCTTCTCACTCTCACCAGGATTCTCAGCTGCTGCTTTGCTTTCGCCTTCGCCATTCTTGCTGATCTCTGCCGCCTGCGTCTGTGTCTGCGGGATCGTAGGCGCTGCCACTGCCGCGACTCCCGCCTCTGACTCTGGCTTTCTTGGCAGAAGCAACGCTCAGGAGCTCCGAGAAAGCCGGGTTGCCGCCAGCAGCAGAAAGCAGGCCGTTCAACAAGCTCAACTCCTGGTGGCCAGTCTGATCTCCTTGGACAATGCCTCTGGACACATACCCAAACAGATCTGTGGCGCAGTCCAGCACCTTCTCGCAAAAAGCCCAGCCCGCAGGCAAGAACAAGGCTTCCTTGCCAGACTGCGTGATGGTGTGCAGGCTCAGCATGCCCTTCTTGGACAGAATTTCCACCTCAACTGCGCTCATTTCCAGCAAGCGTTTCCACAACACGCCAGGATCTGCTCGCCCCCACATGGCCACCAAGCCACTCAAGGGCGTCACCACGGATTCATGTCACATGTGCCACGCTCAGCTGCATTCGGTTCGGACCTTGTGTTTCAAAATGTTTCGTAATTCCAGTTTCTTGAGGTCTTCGATTGCAAGGGATTGATGTCACATGTGTCGCGCTCAGTTGCCTTCGGTTTGCGCCAGATGTCTATTGGCGTCACGTTTAAAAAAAAAAGCGCCTTTCATTTTCCGCCAAATCCGTTTCCAGTTTCTTCTACAAATGATTGATGTCACATGCGCCACACTCAGCTGCATGGTTTGTACTTCTCCCTTGCCCAAGCGCTTTTAGGTCAAAATGCTTATGCTAGTTCAGCGCATAGCTGCCAAGATGGGGATAAAAAGAGGCCGCAAGCCAGCCGAAGGAGAGCTTGAAGACCTTTCCAGGACGACAAGGTGGCGAAGAGAAAATCAAAGCAAGCGAACTCCCTCCGAGGAACGCAGCTTCAAGCAGGCAGAAGTCGACAGAGTGCAAGCATGCCGAAGGCAGGCGCGAGTGGACGATGCGGATTCCGGATCAGCAGGCAACTCGGATCTTTCTGCAGGAAGACGACACATACAAGACGCGTCAGCAAACATTGTCTTTCTTTGATGAAAGGTACGAGTACGCTGCATGCTCTTTTCCGGCTCAGCATGAGCAATTTCGCGCCGAAGCCAGCCACATCTTGCGCGTCCACAATGAAAAGTTGCTGCGCTCGTTCTGCTGCTTCGCCACGCAGTACATCGCCGCCAGCTGCCCCAAGGACGCAGACGATTTCACAGAGCTGCGAGAGACTGCGAAGACATTGCCAGACCAGGATTTGTTGGAGGCGGGAATGCAGAATTCCTTTTTTCCGCACATGGACTCGTTTCGGCGGGATCGCAGCTTCTACATGTACCGAGTCTACAAAAAGCTGTGGGGAAAAGAGCTGGAGCTGAGTGAGCCGAAGCTGAACCTGTGGTTTTTCCTCGACTGCGTATTCAGGTACCTGGGCAACCACTCGTTTTTCACAGATGTCTTGCTGCACCCCGAGTGGTTCGTGGCGGACCGCAGCATCTACGCGGAGGGCCTGACGACCGAGACTCGCAGCCGCGTTGTCGGCGCCGTCGAAGATGCATTCAGGCTGGCTGCTGGTTCCAGAAGATCGGTGCGGTCAATGTTCGCAAATCTCGATGGACGCCGCAGAACATTCGGCAAGTTCATGGATGTAGTCAGAGTCGGAGCGGACACCCGCTTCGTGGACCACGCGGTGACTGCGCTGAAACTTTGGGCTGAATCGGCCTTGGGCGCTGGTCGCCTCATCCTGCAGACGCACCACTTCCTCACGGCAGACCTTTTGGGGCAGACTTCCTCAGTGCTGGCGCAGCTGCAAACTTTGCTTCTGTCTGTTCACCTGTTGGGTCGGCCGGGCTGTAAGACGGCTTCAGACATGAGGGGGTATCGCCTGAAGTTTATGCTCAACGACCTGTACGTCTTCATGGCCTGTGCGACCTGCGCCAACCGTCAAGAGTCCTTCGGCAGAGTGCAAGTGTCGAGCTTGCAGTCGGCTGTGGCATCTTCGCACCACGTTCATGTTTTGGGGCCCCAGTCCTCTATGTCTGGCGCGCGCTATGTCCGGCGACGCCGACAACTGCCGCGAGGCGTTGGATGCCGCGCCTGCCAGATGGACAGCATTTCGAACAGCGCTGCAGAAGCACTTCAAAGTCGCACCCAATCTATATTTTGTGCAAATGCTGCCATGCATCTGGCGTCATTTTGTGCGCATGGCTACCAGAAGACGCAGCACAGGCCAAGTGACATGGAAGACTGCCGCCAGGCAGTCAGTCGAGCCTCTGTACCAGCAAGAGTCCATTAGATTCGAGGAGTCCTGGACGCATTTGCGCCGTTTCAGGACCAATTTGTGCAGTTGCAGGACTCCAGAAAGCTCTGGTTTCTGCTCAAAGTCCGCTGGTTCCCCGGCATCGCCCGCAATCAAGTGGAAGGACTGCTCCGGCAAGCTCAGAGCCAGTGAGAGGGGAGCGTTCGTCCAGGTCGAAGGCCGGGGCTTTTGCCGAGCACAATCTGCTGGAGCGCAGAAAAAACAAAGAGAGCGAGCTGCCCGTTTCGAGTTAGTGCACCGAATTCTCAGCGAGCATTTGTTTCGGCTTTGCAGCGTTTGGCTCGAGCGAGTTGGGAACAATCCTTCGGACCAAACATGGCAGACGCCAAGCTCGCTCTTGCAGTGGCGGCGCCAGTTGCGACGCCCTGCCGAGCCCCGCTAGCGGCGCTGCAAGCGCCCATTTGGCAATGCCACGCCAGCGCGGAGAGACGCAAAGAAGAGCTGGAGGCAGAGGCGGCGGCGGCGGCGCTCAAGCGCTCCAAGCGCAAGAGCGAGAGAGCAAGCCGGAGTTCACCCAAGCGTCGCCGCACGGCCAAGTCTGGCCGCGACAGGCAGAGCGATGCCGTCGAGCAGACAGGAGAGGAGATGGGGTCGCAGCTGGCCGAGAGGGGGTCGCAGCTCAGCCGTAGCAGAAGACCTGGATAAAGCTTGTCCCGCTTGTGGATATTCCTGGTGCAGGTGCTGGCAGCAGGCCCTTACTCCAGGACACGAGCTTCGCCCGATAAACTCCGAGGACTACGACCGTCTGTGGGAGGGCTTCGAGCAGCAGGAAGTGGAAGACACCTTCACGGCCAGTGAAGCGGAGCCGTGCGCAGCACGCAGCAGCAGCGCTGGGCCCAAGCAGGACGAAGTCCAGCCAAAGCAGGGCGAAGCCCGGCCGACGGCAGACGAGAAGGTGGGCAAAGGCAGTCGGCGGGCTAACCCCAAGCCGCGGAATAAGACGCGAGGGAAGAAGTCGGCTGAGCCGGCCCCGCCGGCAGGCCCGCAGCGGCCAGAGGACCAGCCAGCGCAGCCGGCGGAGGCGCCGCGTGAAGACTTGGAAGGCAAGCCGCAGCGAGTCTTCCACATCGTCTTCTCGCACCCGCGAGAAGATGTGCCTGGGCGAAAGAACCCAAAGGATTTGACAAGACAAGAATTTGCGGACAAGCTGGACAGCGTCTTCCAGGATGCAACCCGCGACAGCGCGGCGCAGATCTTGAAGCTGTCTGTCTTCCAAGAGCTGCACGAAAACGAGGAGCCGCACATGCACGCAGCGATGCAAGTCTCGGAGCCCATACGGCACACCCGACTGTTCCGGACCTTGCGCGAGAAGCATGGAATTTTTATCCACTTGGAAGACGGCCACAGGACCTACTGGGGCATTGTGGCGTACTTGGCGGTGCCGTCCGAGAGCAAGCCGGACGTCGACGCCAGCCCGTGGCTTAGCAAGGGCCATCCGCCCGTGGTGGAGCTGCTCAGCGACATCCCCAAAGGAGCGGTGAACTCCGTGAAAGAGAGAGTTCGCAAGTGGCTGGCAGAGGTGCACGGCATCAAGCTGGGCAGGGTGCAGCCCCTGTCCCACGGGCAATTCGTCGACTACATCGTGGCCAACAAGATTTCGGACAAGTCCATCCTATACTCGCACCTGGAGCAGCGCACCTCGGACAAAATAGAGCCGGTGCGCGAATTCTTTTTCAGGCACTTCAAGGACATTCCGACGCTGCTGGCAACCGTGTGGGACATCCAAGCGTCCACGGATAACTTGAAGAGACTGAAGATGTCTCCCTGGGAATTGGTGTGCGCCGCGGCGCGCGACAAGTGCGTCTGTGACGGCTTGTGGATACCGCTGATGCGAGACAATCTGCGGGCGCAGTGCGAGAACTTCCCCCCGCAGATGTCGCAAGAAGAAAAGCCGGAGGAGGCCAGGCTGATAGCGGCGATAACTAGGACGCTGCAGGTCGGCGCCGAGAAGTTCAACAATTTGTTCTTCTACGGGCCACGCAACGCGGGTAAATCCTGCGCGATCGACCCGGTGACGTACATCTTCGGAGCCAAGCTCACATACACCAGGCCTGCAGGAAAGTAGCTGTGCTACAAGATCTGCGACCACAAAGCATGCGGATCGGGTGGGACAGCCTGCTCGTTCTGTTGGAGGGGCAACATGTTGCCGTGCCCACGCCTCGAAACGTGAACTCCGAGGATGTGACGTGGTCTGCAAAGGGCATGCCTTTCTTCATCAGCGGATCTGACAAGCTGCGGATCTCCACGGAGGACGCATACCGCGAAGGTGCAGTGGCGGCCAGGTTTCGCTATTTTTACTTTCCGCACAGTCGCAGTGAGCGCGACTGTAAGCGGTGCCCGCCATGCGGCAGCTGCTTCAGCCGCTGGCTGCAAGGTCTGCCGGCGCCACCTCTCACTCCCCCGGCGAGCGGCTCATCCGGGGTCCGATCCAGCCGCCGCAAGCATAGCAGCCCCAGCCGAAGCTCCAGCGGCGGCAGCGACAGCCGCCCGGGCCAGCCACGACAGCAGCAGCCCGCGCAGAGAGGAGATCACCCCCCTGCCGGCCGCCCCGACGAGCAGGCCATCGTTAAGGACTTGCGCCGCAGCCTGCAGCTTGAGCAGGAAGAAGCCGAGGCCGAGGCCGACGCCCAGGTGGACGACTGCCGGGACCTGGAAGCGGAATATGCTTCTGGTTCTCCGTCGGTCTAGGATGTTTTAGGGGTAAGCGGACCTTCAGAACGAAGTGCCCGCAATTATGGAGCTTGGGGGAGCAAGCTCGTCAAGAGCCTGCAGATGTGTAGCAAGAAAAACAGACTCGCGAAAGGCAGCAGCTGTCTGCGCATCGAGTTTGTGTGGGGGAGAGGCTTCGTGATCGCAGCTTGTGGATACCGCTTATGCGAGACAACTCGACAGATAATAGATATTCATGTTTCTGCTGTAGATTCACTGAAGTTAGCACAGGCAAAGAGCAGAAAACAGTAATGGGCCAAATAGCGAAGCATTACATTGAAGCAGCGCAACCATGAATCAACCCTGCCCGTGCCGGTGTCACATACCTCGTGTTCAACAGCTGTCAGAGGCAGTCCGCAACAAAGATTGCAACCAAGCGGGCCACATGCTCCGCAATGGATGCTGGAAGATCTTCGCTGTTAGCAGCATTGACTTTGAGTCGACAGACGGATGGGATGTGATTGACGAGCTTGCAGATGATTTTGTGGAGGTGAGATGCGCAAGGGTGCAAGCGACTCTTTGCAGAGCAGAAGCTACGCGTACAGCCGAGTTCCAAAATCACTCAGCACAAGATGACGTGCCGCAAGTGCAATACCGCTGCAAAGCGCGCTATGCCAAGGATGCAAAGGACGTTGTTGTTCTTTGGTCAAAGAGCCTGACAACGCAAAACCATGCAGAGCCTTGGCTAGTTGCATGGCGCTCCTGCCCACTCCTGGAACTGCATTTTTCCTTTCCTAGCTGCAAAGCAACAAGCGTGGAAATCCGACAGCATTGAGCGGGTGCAACATTGCGTTGAAGCTACCATACCTTTTGTGTGAGAGAGACAAGGCAGATACCTACAGACTTATCCGCGCGCACTTGTCAGCCCAGGGCTGGATGGAAACGAGCACCATCCCGTGGTTCCTTATCTTTATCAGTCCTCGCAGCATTCATCGATCCTTTGCGGTTGTAGCCTGGCATGCCAAGCGTCAGCACCATCCCTCTGAGGACGCTAGAGCGTCTGGCTCGAAGACCCATAGAGTGCTTGATAGTTTGACAAGTCCCTAAGTGACCAGTCTGCCGAGCAAACTTGTCCACGGCCTGCCGCAAAGCTGCAGGCAGGTGCCTGCTCGCATGAGTTTCTGCAGTCTATTGCCACGCGCCTGCTGCCTGTCCGCAGCATTTTTTGCTCGCGGCCAGCGAAAGTAAAGCTGCGATGAAGCGGCCAGCGACAAGAGGCGGGGTCGCCGGGGCAGCGGCGAGCAGGGGACAGGCGAAGCAAAAGCAAGGCCAGCGCACGCAGAAGAAGCCAGCAGCGGCGCAGAACCAGAAGCTTCCCGAGCCGTTGCGTCGCCGCGTGGACTGGAGCCGAGTGACGGCCGCGCAGCTGCTGGAGTGCCGCGAAGACTATCAGGACGCGAAGGCTTACAATGCGGGGCATAGCCACGTGCCAAGTTACAGGGAGTACGCTCGCAGCCACTTCTTGGCCACGCAGCGCGCCCAAGACCTCGAGCCCGAAGCCTTGCGGCAGCACTTAGCTGGGCGCGGCCGGCCGTGAGACTGTAGAGCTTTTTCTCCTGCGGGGCAAGCCGAAGGCCAGCCTTCTGCGCAGAGTGTCCGTGGCTCTAAAGGAAAAAAATGCGTTGGCCACAGACACAAACGACCGAGGTCGAGGTCTCTTCACGTGCTGTGTGACCCGCTGTGTCTCTTTTAGGGTGCCACAGCGTAGTTCTTGAGCCATGAGCGACTTTCCCGAGCTCGACCTCCAAGCGTGCTCGCAAAGAGAGTTGCTGGTGCTCTGCCAAGCCGCGCGGCTTCGACTATTCCGGGGGTGTCGCATGCATGCGGGCAACAGCACGGACGGCTCCTCGAGCGAAAAGAGATTCCGGCTTGTGTACAACACCATCTGCAAAGACAGGACCTACGTCGTGAACCACCTGGAGGAAGAGATCTACCGGATGCTCCTGAGAAACATCAGCGCCATGTCGCAGGACCACGTGAAGTTTCATCGCATGTGTGACGACGTCCGCGCGGAGCTGGACTGGATCGACCCTGTGTCCCATTTGATCCCGATAAGAGGCAATTCGCCTAGGTGAGCGGCCAGCGAGTGTGCGAGCCGTGCGAGGAATTCTGCCAACCAGTTCTGCTACTGCACACACGGAGCCCTCAGGCTTGTGCCGGAGACTTTGAGCTTTGCTAGGGCATGTTCTTTGGAAGTCATCCGGGCTAAAGCCGCCCGTGTGCGCGAGCCTCCCGCGCAGAAAAAGGCGCTGCGCGCAGACAATAGCAACGTCACACTATTCGCGGGTCTGAATCTTGGACGAGCGGATTCGGTTAGACGGGGTGTGGCCAGAGGTCCACTTGGGGGCAAGCCGAAGGCCAGCCCGGCCAGCAGCACCGCCTCAAGCCGCTCACTGTGACCGCTGCCATTTCAGGCTCGGCCGATTTGTTTTGCACATGGGGCGGCGCGGTGCTTACCACGGACATTCTGAGGCACTTGAAAGCTTTTCAGTCCGCTGTCGGTCAGATCTGCCGGAGTAGTTCGGGCGAGACTTGCGTCAGCCCCTTTGACGCACGAAGCTCTCCCGCTGGTGCCTGTGTCTGACACGTTGAAGGAGGATGACGTGGGGAGAAGCGGGAGCAATTCACACACAGGTCTTTGAGCTGTGCGTGAATGGCTCCCACTTACACTTGCCACAGCCATCCCTCTCCGCAGCACTTTATGCCACGTAGACAAAGACAAAGACGAGGAGCCGCTGTGCTTCTACCAGAAGTTTGCAGTGTGGCGAAGCCCGGGCTAAAAGCACTCTCGCGCATCTAGCACGCCTCGAGCATCGTGGGCAGTGGAGCTACAAAAAGGTGCTTTGCCAGGCAATAGCAACGTCACGCTATTCGCGGGTCTGAATCTTGGACGAGCGGATTCGTTTGGACGGGGAGTGCTGCTAGCCGAGTTTCTGTTGAGTAGGTCAGCCACATAGCAAAGCCGAGCACCGATGCCTAGCACCGATCCCGCGCCAATTGCGTTCTCGTTCACATGATTCAGACCCGCGAATAGTGTGGCGTTACTTTTCTGCTTTGCAGGCAAGCGAGAGAGCGGCGGATCATATTGTATGTGTGACTTGCCTGCAGCATTGTTGTGTCGTAGCAAGGCGTGCGACGCCATTCCGCGGGATGGGGCGCCGTAGCAAAAGGCCGAAAATGGACGACCCAACACAGTATATCTTCGTGGAGATATCGCCGTGTATAGTGTCTGAGTATTGCAGGAAGGTGCGCGAGCGACTGGGCTTGTCGCCCGAGTGGCTCACGCAGCTTAGCAGCTGTGGCAAGATGCGAGGCCTCTACAGAGGGCCCGAGGATGAGACGGAGTTTCGACGACTGGGCATGTGCGAGGCATGCAGACACATTTTGGAAGACCCATCGATTAGCATGTATGTGAAGTGGGCGCAATGCACAAGCCTGACATACTCTGGACTACAGATGGCCGAGCGGCTGGTTATTTTGAGCCAGGCGCGAGGCGCGACGCACGGCAACGCTGCCCAGCTGGCCGACATGGTGCGCGTGTCGACAGGACAGCGTGAGTTGCTGGAGCCTTTCGTTGGACACAGGCCAGACCCCAGCCGTTGGCAGTGATGGCTTCCTGATTTAGCGGAGTACGAAGCGTGCAGAGTTTGAAGCGTGGAAAAGAGTCAGAGAGCCTTGCGTCATGCGAATGCGAATCAGGGGCAGGCCTATTGAGAGTGACATGGCGCATGTAAAATCTTTTTGTTCGTTCGTGGCTAGGATTTTTGTGGCTCAAAGCATGCAACCAAGTATGTGCTCGCGCTGTCCGACAGCACCGGCAACGGATATGCTGAGTACGGCTCCAATGTGGTGAAGATGTCGTCCAGCGAAACAAAGCATGTGGTGATTCTCGGCCATGGCGCGAGTTTGATTCATGCCTCCAAAGGCAACAGGCATATGTCTATCTTGAAGAAGCTTCTCTGCACCTGGGCTGGCATCGCCGACTCGTACTACGAGATGAAATGCCGTGATCAGCTCTTGCGCAAGCGCGTTGGGCTGAGCGTGGTCCCTGCGCGTGACGCTGTGCGTGTCGACCAAGAGGGCAAGTTTAGCCCTTTACATCAGGCCCGATGCGCCTGGCGAGTGAAAGAGTCCAGCTCCACCATCAGGTCCATGGAGAAAGCCTGGTTTGAGAAGGACGGCATGCCTTTGTTCACTCCGCTCAGCATCGGCAGTGGCTTGCACTTCTGGGGATCCATGGAGCGCAAAAAGGAGATTTTCAACGACCTGATGGAGTGAGTGGCCCGAGACTGCGAGCCCGCGTCCGCGGAGCTTTACATCCTCGTGTGCGCGGGGTGGAACTTGGTGCCAGGCCCGTGTGAGGATGCTGGCGCGGCTGAGAGGAAGATGGCCAGGCTGCACGCGGAGCAGCAGCTATTGACGTTGCTGCAGACAGAGGCAGTGACATTTCGGGATGTGCTGCGGTCAACTTGCAGTTTCAACAAACGAGAAGCGAGGAACGGCTTCGCTTTTGGCAACTGTCTGCAACCGGCCGTCTCTGCAGCATCTCATGCCTTGCTTTTTGCTCTGCAACACTCATCGTTTAGCGGTGCGAGTTCGCAATCGCCTGGTGTTGCCGGACAACTTTGTGGTGTGGCGATGCAAGTCGTCGTGGAGTAATGGCGCCTCCATGATGCGCGTGGTGAGCCGCATCAATCGAGTGTGCGAGCCGTACAAAGAATTCTGCCAGCCAGTGCTGCTTCTGGACACAGCGAGTGCTCACATTGCGCCGGAGACTTTGCGCTTTGCGAGGGCATGTTGTTTGGAAGTCGTCATCATTCCAGCTGGCATGACGCCGCTGCTGCAGGTGGCAGACGTGTTTGTCTTTGCCTCTGTCAAGCAGCGTTTAAGTCAGGAGTTTCAGCGCATGAGAGTGACGCAGCAGCAAGTGACAGTGCGCGACTGGATCCAGCTTCTAGCCAGGGTCCCTACCTGGCTTCAAGAAAAGTCCTGGACGGAGGCATTTGCAGCAAGCCTCGAAGGCGGGTGCTTGACCAATCACCTAGAAGCTCTGCAGATTTCTCGCATTACCAACAGAGCGCGGCCTACGTTCCAGCAGCTGTGTTTGGTTGTGGCCTTGAAGGTTTAGGGGGTGAGCAAGCCGACACTTTCGAGAAGCCTTGCCTCTTAGTACTCGGCTGTTCAAATCCCTCTAAAACTGATCCTGAAGCTAAACCCTACATTCTGAGAGCCCAAACACCAGTTCTGAGATGGTTGTTCGCACAGCTCTTCAGAGCCAACCCTTTTCTCGAAGACTGCGCCATCATGCAAAAACGCGAAAACACAGGAACTCAGCCGCTGCCCGCAGGGAACCAAAATAACTGTTTGCAAACACGTTCGCGTCCTTCACTCCAAGCATTTGGTACATGGCAGGCTTCCAGTCTTCCACCTCGACCGTGAAGGCCCACCCACCACAAACACCGCGCAAGGCCTCTTCCACGGCCACAGTCTTGCCGGATTTGTAGCGGCCACTCACGATGGTCGCGTCGGACTTCTGCCGCCAGCTGCTCAGCCTATGTCGGATGTCATCTACGACCTTTCGTGGGACGACCTCGTCCGGAGACATGGCTGGCTCATAGGGTGCCATGAACTTCTTCACGGCCAAACGCTTCATGCGAAAGTCCGAGGAGGCATACGTGAATGCAAGGCCTAGGCCAGACACCACAAAGCCTAGGCGCAGCATGCATTGCCCTTTGTATCACAGCTCGAAGCTGCGGCCACGCATTCAGTTGGGTCGGTGGCGCGCTGGGCCGTCTTCTGCAACTCCCCGGCTTTGCCTTGCTCGACGCAAAAGCACTTTAGCAAGAGTAATTTCAAAGAACTACGATGCAGTCAAAGCGGCCCAGCTGCGTCCGATGAAATGGCCTCCTCCACCGTGATTCGCTCTGCCACTGAGGGCGGCGGCCACCTTATTGAAACTCTGTGCTCACGCAACAAAGGGAAGCATTCAAAACAACAGCTTGACAGAAGCCTGAAGCATTGCCTGCCACAGCACAATTGTCAATGATTGCTGTCGCGGCCGACTCGTGCTCGTGCATCTTGAGCAACTCACTCGCCTCCTTCTCGGTCATGTCGCCCACCCAGATGTCGAATCTGCGACCGCCAGCATCAAACGCCAGAGCCGAGGCAGCAGATGAGGCGGCCACCAGCACCTGAAATGCATTGAGACTGGGAAAGCGGCGACTCAACAAGGAAGTCAGAGTTGATTCATGGATTGACTATCAGCCGTGGGACATGTGCCGATGCGGCGTAGCGTGAATCACTCGACATGTCCTTCGCTGTGGTGGAAACCAACTTCATCCCCTCCTCCTTACCTCAGGGGAGTTGCTTGCAAACGCTGACGCTATTCACAAAGTGCGCGCAGGCCTCCTTTGGTGTCGCGAGGAATGTCCAGAAGCAGGATAGGATATTGGGTCAGGTTCTTTACAAACTTCGTCTTTTGCAACTTGGCGCGGACACGACGAAGCACCTCGGCAAACATGTTCGCGTCCTTCACTCCAAGCATTTGGTACATGGCAGGCTTCCAGTCTTCCACCTCGACCGTGAAGGCCCACGCACCACAAACACCGCGCAAGGCCTCTTCCACGGCCACAGTCTTGCCGGATTTGTAGCGGCCACTCACGATGGTCGCGTCGGACTTCTGCCGCCAGCTGCTCAGCCTATGTCGGATGTCATCTACGACCTTTCGTGGGACGACCTCGTCCGGAGACATGGCTGGCTCATAGGGTGCCATGAACTTCTTCACGGCCAAACGCTTCATGCGAAAGTCCGAGGAGGCATACGTGAATGCAAGGCCTAGGCCAGACACCACAAAGCCTAGGCGCAGCATGCATTGCCCTTTGTATCACAGCTCGAAGCTGCGGCCACGCATTCAGTTGGGTCGGTGGCGCGCTGGGCCGTCTTCTGCAACTCCCCGGCTTTGCCTTGCTCGACGCAAAAGCACTTTAGCAAGAGTAATTTCAAAGAACTACGATGCAGTCAAAGCGGCCCAGCTGCGTCCGATGAAATGGCCTCCTCCACCGCGATTCGCTCTGCCACTGAGGGCGGATGCCTTCTGCGGAAAGGGCGAGTACAACCAAGCACATACACAAAGCTCTTAAAACTCCCCAGCCTCTGGCAGCAGGGTGAAGTCCGTCTGCGGCAAGCTGAAACAAGCTGCTGCAGCAATCGCGCAGAACAATGGCACACTTCCTTTGCGGCGTCTCATGGCCATCACTGCGTGGGCAGGAAACGTCAACAACGCAATGTTTCCATAAAGGGTAAGCAGCTGAATGCATGTGCGATAAGATTGAGACACCACGTCGTCCAACACAGCTAAAGCCATCGTGCGACACAGACTTTTGCAACTGCGCTCACGAGCCCCAAACGTCCAGCGAGCTCGCACCGAAGGACCCACCTTCTCCATCGGAGTGGGGTCTAGGGTTTTGTGGCCTTGAAGGTTTAGGGGGTGAGCAAGCCGACACTTTCGAGAAGCCTTGCCTCCCAGTACTCGGCTGTTCAAATCCCTCTAAAACTGATCCTGAAGCTAAACCCTACATTCTGAGAGCCCAAACACCAGTTCTGAGATGGTTGTTCGCACAGCTCTTCAGGGCCAACCCTTTTCTCGAAAACTGTGCCATCATGCAAAAACGCGAAAACACAGGAACTCAGCCGCTGCGCGCAAGGAACCAAAATAACTGTCTGCAACAAGTCGGCACATCAACCTACCATGAGGCAACTTCCTCGTGCAAGCTTTTCAGGGCATCTTCTGTTTGGCGATTGTCGCGTGCAAGCTTGAAGCAAACCTGTAAAGCTTCTCTGTAGGATGCCATATGATGGCATGCGCGTTCTTATCGCGAATGAGCTTTGCAATTTCGCGTGGCTCATAGGCGGTAGTATTGATGACTGCCTTAATGCCTGCGCCTCCGCTCTGAAGCAGTGCGTTTAAAATCTGCTGACCCACCTGCTTTCCATCAAGTGTAAGACTCATGAAGTTCACCACGTCTTTTTCTGCCATATTGTGGATATCGACCTTGATGTCGCTCAGATTGATTCCTCTCCTCAGAGGGGCAAGACTCCGAAAGCGAGTCTCACACAAAGGTCAGAAACGTGACTGCAAAGCAAAACATGGGCGAAAGTGTTTAGAGAAGGCACTTCAGCATAGTTCTTGCATCCACCAAATCACCAGCGCGGCGACCACCTTACTGGAACTCTATGCTCACGCAACAAAGGGAAGCATTCAAAACAACAGCTTGACAGAAGCCTGAAGCATTGCCTGCCACAGCACAATTGTCAATGATAGATGCCGCGGCCGACTCGTGCTCGTGCATCTTGAGCAACTCACTCGCCTCCTTCTCGGTCATGTCGCCCACCCAGATGTCGAATCTGCGACTGCCAGCATCAAACGCCAGAGCCGAGGCAGCAGATGAGGCGGCCGCCAGCACCTGAAATGCATTGAGACTGGGAAAGCGGCGACTCAACAAGGAAGTCAGAGTTGATTCATGGATTGACTATCAGCCGTGGGACATGTGCCGATGCAGCGTAGCGTGAATCACTCGACATGTCCTTCGCTGTGGTGGAAACCAACTTCATCCCCTCCTCCTTACCTCAGGGGAGTTGCTCGCAAACGCTGACGCTATTCACAAAGTGCGCGCAGGCCTCCTTTGGTGTCGCGAGGAATGTCCAGAAGCAGGATAGGATATTGGGTCAGGTTCTTTACAAACTTCTTCTTTTGCAACTTGGCGCGGACACGACGAAGCACCTCGGCAAACATGTTCGCGTCCTTCACTCCAAGCATTTGGTACATGGCAGGCTTCCAGTCTTCCACCTCGACCGTGAAGGCCCACACACCACAAACACCGCGCAAGGCCTCTTCCACGGCCACAGTCTTGCCGGATTTGTAGCGGCCACTCACGATGGTCGCGTCGGACTTCTGCCGCCAGCTGCTCAGCCTATGTCGGATGTCATCTACGACCTTTCGTGGGACGACCTCGTCCGGAGACATGGCTGGCTCATAGGGTGCCATGAACTTCTTCACGGCCAAACGCTTCATGCGAAAGTCCGAGGAGGCATACGTGAATGCAAGGCCTAGGCCAGACACCACAAAGCCTAGGCCAGACACCACAAAGCCTGCAACAGCCAGGGAAAAGTCTCGTATATCGCGAATGTCAACTGTCCTGTTGGGCGCAGCATGCATTGCCCTTTGTATCACAGCTCGAAGCTGCGGCCACGCATTCAGTTGGGTCGGTGGCGCGCTGGGCCGTCTTCTGCAACTCCCCGACTTTGCCTTGCTCGGGGGAAAAAACAAAAAGAACTTTAGCATGAGTAAATTCAAAAAAAATGAAATGGCCTCCTCCACCGCGATTCGCTCTGCCACTGAGGGCGGATGCCTTCTGCGGAAAGGGCGAGTACAACCAAGCACACACACACAAAGCTCCTGAAACTCCCCAGCCTCTGGCAGCAGGGTGAAGTCCGTCTGCGGCAAGCTGAAACAAGCTGCTGCAGCAATTCCGCAGAACAATGGCACACTTCCTTTGCGGCGTCTCATGGCCATCACTGCATGCGCAGGAAAGGTCAACAACGCAATGTTTCCATAAAGGGTAAGCAGCTGAATGCATGTGCGATAAGATTGAGACACCACGTCGTCCAACACAGCTGAAGCCATCGTGCGACACAGACTTTTGCAACTGCGCTCACGAGCCCCAAACGTCCAGCACGCTGAACCGAAGGACCCACCTTGTCCATCGGAGTGGGGTCTAGGGTTTTGTGGCCTTGAAGGTTTAGGGGCTGAGCAAGCCGACACTTTCGAGATGGTTGTTCGCACAGCTCTTCAGAGCCAACCATTTTCTCGAAAACTGTGCCATCATGCAAAAACGCGAAAACACAGGAACTCAGCCGCTGCGCGCAAGGAACCAAAATAACTGTCTGCAACAAGTCGGCACATCAACCTACCATGAGGCAACTTCCTCGTGCAAGCTTTTCAGGGCATCTTCTGTTTGGCGATTGTCGCGTGCAAGCTTGAAGCAAACCTGTAAAGCATCTATCTCTGTAGGATGCAATATGATGGCATGCGCGTTCTTATCGCAAATGAGCTTTGCAATTTCGCGTGGCTCATAGGCGGTAGTGCTGAGGACTGCCTCAATGCCTGCGCCTCCGATTTCAAGCAGGGCCTTTAAAATCTGCTGACCCACCTGCTTTCCATCAAGCGTAAGACTCATGAAGTTCACCACGTCCTTGCTTGCCATCTTGTGGAAGCGCTGCTTGATGTCGCTCAGATTGATTCCTCTCCTCAGAGGGGAAAAGACACCGAAAGCGAGTCTCACACAAAGGTCAGAAACGTGACTGCAAAGCAAAACACGGGCAAAGTGTTTAGAGAAGGCACTTGAGCATACTGCATGCGTCCACCAAATCACCAGCGCGGCGGCCACCTTACTGAAACTCTGCGCTCACGCAACAAAGGGGAGCATTCAAAACAACAGCTTGACAGAAGCCTGAAGCATTGCCTGCCACAGCACAATCGTCAATGATTGCTGCCGCGGCTGACTCGTGCTCGTGCATCTTGAGCAACTCACTCGCCTCCTTCTCGGACAAGTCGCCCACCCAGATGTCGAATCTGCGACCGCCAGCATCAAACGCCAGAGCCGAGGCAGCAGATGAGGCGGCCACCAGCACCTGAAATGCATTGAGACTGGGAAAGCGGCGACTCAACAAGGAAGTCAGAGTTGATTCATGGATTGACTATCAGCCGTGGGACATGTGCCGTTGCAGCGTAGCGTGAATCACTCGACATGTCCTTCGCTGTGCTTGCAAACGCTGACGCTATTCACAAAGTGCGCGCAGGCCTCCTTTGGTGTCGCGAGGAATGTCCAGAAGCAGGATAGGATATTGGGTTCTTTGCAAACTTCTTCTTTTGCAACTTGGCGCGGACACGACGAAGCACCTCGGCAAACATGTTCGCGTCCTTCACATGGCAGGCTTCCACACCACAAACACCGCGCAAGGCCTCTTCCACGGCCATAGTCTTGACGGATTTGTAGCGGCCACTCACGATGGTCGCGTCGGACTTCTGCCGGGGTGCGGATGTATTTTGGGATGTTTTTTTGGGTTTTTTCCCCCATTTTTCGTCCGGGCCAGCAAAATGTCGTATTTTACAGCATTATCTCGCGAAATTGACGCATTTTACACAAGCCCTTCAACATCACCAGCATCGTTTTCAACATCCCCCGCATGTCCGACCAACATCCCTAGCATCACCAACAAATCGTGGGTAACAAAATCCAAAAGGTAGCCGGCGGGTTGACGGGGTCAACAAAATGATGCTTCAAATAGGAGGGCGTTTCAATCCCTGTAAAAGAAGAAGAAAAAACACTAAAAAGTAGCGGGGGGTTGGGGGGGGCGGCAGCCCCCCCCATCATGTTGTTTGCAGAAGTGATGATTCGAATAGGGGTGCAATTAAATCTCTGCAAGAACTCTAAAAACTAGCGGGCGGGTTGGGGGGGGCGGCAGCCCCCCGGCATGATGTTCGAAGAATTGATGATTCAACTAGGGTGCAATTAAATACATCTCTGTAGAAAATCTAAAACGTAGCGGGGGGGTTGGGGTGGGCGGCAGCCCCCCCCATGATGTCGGAAGAAGTGATGATTGAATTAGGGGTGCAATGATTCAAGAAAGGGTGCGATACAATTTAAAAGGCAGCGGGAGGGTTGGCGGGGGTGGCTTCCCCTATGATGTGCGAAGAAGTGCATACAGACATACATGGATTACACATAATACCTAAAATGTCGTATTTTGCAGCATTTTCTCGCGAAATTGGACGCTCGAAGTGATGATTGAACTAGGGGTGCAATTCAATCTCTGCAAGATACATCCAAAAAGTAGCGGGGGGGGGGAGGCGGCAGCAGTTAGACCAGACCTTGCCCATCTTTCTTTTGTAAAAAATCCCAGGACCCCCCCCCCCCCCACACACTTTTAGCAACATTTTAAAACAGCACCTCAAACAGCACATTTTCAAAAATCAACATTTCAAAGCAGGTAATTTCCTAGTAAGTTCATCCATATTTTAAAATATAAATTTAAAAAA